TGGCTTCATTACTCTGCTCTCCTCCCCACTGAGAGCTGGTGTGTGGGAGAGGACTGGAGCATCATCCAGGTGGGGCTGCACACTGGTGGTGGTGGAGGGGATCCCCATTACCTGTAAAGCGCTTTGAGTGGAGTGTCCAGAAAAGCGCTATATAAGTGTAAGCAATTAAGGGGGGATTTCACCCGAGCGCTGCGGGACGTCTTACCATAACTTCCCCGGTCTGCTGCTCTCGCAGCACGAAGCTCAGGGCCTCCGTGTTGGGGCCGGCCAGGAGCCGCAGGTACAGGGGGTGCTCTCCGTCGGACAGCTTGCACACGTACACTGCAACACACAGCGAGGGAACAGGCGTCATCGAGGGCCGGGTTTCCCCATGAGGCTCTGCAGGCACAGTGCCCAAGGGCCCACGCAGGAGGGAAACACGAGCGACTGACGAGAAACGAGCTGGACCAACAGGCGATGGACTCCAGGTGCTCCAGATCAACGATCAGACGCCGTCCAGCGGCTCTTCTAGAGACTAGGAGTGTCGAAGTGACAGTCGCGCGGTTTAGCATGAGAACAGCTCAAAGTGCGTCACGTCCGCCGACGCCGATCAACTGGCGTTTCTGCGCATGTCGGAGAGGAAGTGCCCGGGGGACCTACGGACACCACAATCCGGCCCTGGCATCATCCCTGCAGTTAAAAAGATTCAAAATCTCCACCCTCTGCTGCACAGGACCGAAGGGGTCTTATCAGGATCAACTAGGGGGGAGTCGGGGGGAGAGAAACTCTGAGGTTTCAGGGCGCGGGCTCAAAACGCCTGCTCATTTCGGGGAGCACAGCAACGGCGACAAGGGTTCGGCTAGTCCGCGCAGCGCCATCTTCTGCGATTCAGAACGAGGCAACGAGACCTCATGTGAGGGGAAGTGGCCCTGTGACTCTGTAGACAAGCAGGCTTGTGAATCCAGCTCTTCTCATCCAGCAGAAATATCGCTCTCCACTGCCAGACAGTTACAAATACGACTTACTTATTAACTCCGCCTGCAGATCACGTTGGAACATTTCTGCAGTGAAACGTCCGCTGCACAACCTGTCCTTATCCACTCGTCCATCACAGTACCTCAGCCAGTACAGGGACTAGTGAGCAGGAAGGGCCGTCTCGCGTCACAATTCTTAACGGCTCGAATGCAAGTTTGCGACAACATGGCGACTTACGGTATTCGAAGCTTGCAACATTTTTCTTTAGCACCAATGAGTTAATTTTGTTTCCGAGATTTAATAACCGGAAGGAAAAATTTAGACTCTAGTTCCCCTTTAAAAGGTAAACTACATTGTATGCAACTTTATATATATATTTATCAGAATCTGTATTATGAAGTGGCTTTAAGAATCTAGATACAATGAGTAATGCCTGGCTAGTCTCAACATTTCCAGCTTCAAATTAAAATGTCTGGCCAAGATGCAGTGATCCCAGATTCAGAGATCAAAGCAACTGTAAAGTTCACCTTTAGTTAATTAAGTTCTGGGTAAATGATTAATCGTCAATGAAGAGTCCAAGAGCACAACATAAAAACAACGAGCTTTGCACTTGCAGTAAAATGGAAAGGACTTTGTATGCAAGTTTTCATAGATCACGATTAAACATATTGAATGTATTGATTAATCTTAATCGGAATCCTTTAGCATGGGAGATGGGAGATCGGGGAAGTGCTAGAGCATTTGATTCCTTAATTCTGCTAGTCGAGTTGGAGTTTACCATTTAACTAATCTACTACTGCACTGCAGCTAAATTGACTGGCTTGACTGGAAACCAGCATCAGAATGTTACTGATCGGTCGGATCAATAACCTACTAGCAATTAAAGGCCATTAACTCAGGCCTGAATGGCCTGCTCTTATTCTCCGATGTCTGTGGTGTGTTCACACAGGACTGGCAATAAAGAGGCAGACATTCTCCCTGCTCTGCTTCATCATCACTGTCACAAACCCACCCAGGGCCAGCAAGAAGCACCCCGCCTGTTCTAATTTAAGATCCCATCAGCTCTCCTGCTTCATGCAACAAGACATTAAAAGCGCATGTTGCGTTTTAACACCCTATTCGATACTCGTCTCTCTCGTTTCCCCCTGCCAAGTCTCAGAGGCTCAGCCACTCTGTGAATGTACAACCGACACAATTATCCTGAGCAAAACTACAGGGTGTCGAGACGAGACCCCTTTTGTCACGCAGCGCGATTAAAACCCAGCCAAGACAAAATTGCTCTTCCTGACCAGCGCTAAGCAGAAGCCACGGTCCGCCGTTTTTTATCTCGTCCTCTTGTGCACAACTGACCCCGAGTTAAGGTGCTTGCAAGACAAAAAAAACATGAAACCTTCAGCGCATCTTAATCCTAAGAAACGCCCCGATTTCAGGTCACAGCTCCAAAGTGGCTCTGCGGTGCACGGCGCATTTCCCATCTGCTACAGACAGCAGGGGCAGTCGAAAAACAGATTTTAAAGACGGGAGACATCACAGACTCCCTGAGGACATGGATTCTATTAGGGAAAGGAACGAGAGGTCAGAGGATGATCGCCTTTTTTGTGAAACGGGCGCTTGTGCCTACTTGTGCCACCAGAACGTCCCCTTAATCTGCTCAGGGGGTGTCTAGACAGCACATTTCATTAATGGGAGGAGGTGTCTCCTCCCATTCCTGGTGCTGGTATCGGCAAACACAGCACAGATAAGAGAACCCTGGAATGCGGGATTAGTACTCACAGGGATTCTCCTCTCCCACCTGTGTGCCCCCTGCCGGGACAGGAATGGCATTTGAAAGACCCCGCAGAGCCCAGGCGCGGTTTTAATGCAGCCGAGAGCAGGAGACGGACTGAACCTGCCGAGACCACAGTGCCACGCTAGGACGATCCCCCACTGGGGATCGGAACGCTCTGCCTTTCCGTCTGCTGGGGGGGGGAGCTCCAGGGAGCAGGAGACCTCAATAATCACACGGACACTTTGCAGCTTTCCAAAAGAGCAGGCCCTTCCCAATTCCAACAAAAACGTTTTTTGCATGTCAGCCGCGTGAGGCGTATATAAGATCGCTTTATTGGCCAGATACAATTTCTTGGATTTGGAATGTGTCTTTTCACAGACCGGGGAGAGAAGCTGGGAGGCAGAGCGCAGGGTCGGCCATTTATACGGCGCCCCTGGAGCAGCTGGGGTGAAGGGCCTCGCTCAGGGGCCCCGACGGAGTAGGATTCCTCTGCCGGGCCGCGGGATTCGAACCGGCAAACCTCCCGGCCACAGGCGCAGATCCTGAGCCACAGAGCCAGCGCTCCGCCCCCAATATTTCCCACCGGACGGCCCAGTGTCGAAACTGGCTTTTCACCACAAAGAAAAACAACTGCACAGGATGATACAGCACGCCAGCAGCTGAGTGTTTCCTTCGACCTGGGGTTTATTGGCTTGGAAAGGGAGGGAGACGCGTTTTAAAGGTTCAGATGCTGCTTTCCTGAGGGAAGAGGCAAACTGTGGGTCCACGCTGGGCCCGGCTCACCCCTCGGGGGTTAAACTGACATTTCTCTCCTTTCACAGGAAAGGCCGGGAGCCAGCCAGGGAATGTCTGAACGGGTTCCAAGCCGCGCTGTAAAGCGCTCGCTCGTGCTGTTCTGCAGTTGCTGGGCTCTCCCTGCGCTCCAGCTGTGCTGGGGTATTAATAGCGCCGTGTTGTGTTTGGAAGGCCTGCGACATTCCAGATCGCTGGCAGATGGCCTTCGCACATGCCCCGAGAGCGGGCGTGCCCGTCCCGGATCCCCTGTCCTCTGCGGGGTGGGTTTGCAAGCGCCGCGGTTTAATGGCGTTATCAAGTGGTCTCTTTCTCTCTCTCTCTCGAGGGAAGAGCACGAGGAGGATTGGTCGGTCGCTCAAGTGAACGCATCCCAGGAACGAACGAGTCAGAACTCGGGGAAAACAGCTGGCACAAGCAGGAACGGCGTGAAAGCGCATTTTAAACCAAGGACAGGAGGCGCGGCTTTACGCAAAGGGTGGTAGGAGTGTGGGACAAACCACGTGGTTGAAGCCGATAGCCTGGCTTCGCCCTAGACAGAGCTGGAGGAGACCCTCCTGTCAGGACGGGAGGCTCTTCTTTACGCAGAGGGTGGTGGGGGTGTGGAACAAGCTGCCCAGCCGTGTGGTTGAACCTGATAACCTGGCTTTTTTTCCCCCACGAAAAGTCTTAATGAGATCCTGGGATCAGTTAACTGCGCGCTACTGAACGCAATGACCCAACGCCCTCCTCTCACTTGTAACAGTTCTTCTACAACACGGATCGGAGATCAGCTGCTCCGCTGTGGCAAACACCAGGTTGCCCTCTCGAGATCAGCCGATATTTGAAACGCGGACCCGCAACGTGGTTCCGTGTAAAAACCGGGCTCGTTTGTCACGAGAGAGAGAGACCGGATTCTCCCGCTACTCTGCCTTGGGGGAGCGTGTGCGCGCGGAAGTCGGGGACCCCCACCTTGGTCCTCCTTGTGGCAGCACTTGAAAAGGGCGAACTTGGCGGGGTTGTCAGCCACCAGGAACTTGCTGAGCAGGGCCTCGATCACCTCCTGCGCGGTGTTGGCGCTGCTGATGTGCAGCGTGTTGGTGGAGCCCCTGGGCAGGAAGAAGGCCTCCTCCCTACCGCCCCTGGGCGCCCGCACGGTGATGGGCCTCTTCAGCTCCATCTGCACCTTGATGAACCCCGTATACAGGCCGCTGGCGTTCTGCGGGAGGAAAGAGGGGAGAGCCGTGGCAGGGCGAGCGAGCAAGCGAGCAGCGAGCCTTCGAGTTTCTAGTCCTCGGACACAGATTCGCCTGAGGTGCTTTAATTGATTAACGAGAAGAGTCACATTCGCGCTGGGGGCTAATCTTGACCGGGTCTGGTATAGAAAGGGGGCGGCACGGGGGGGGCGCAGTGGTGAGCATTGCTGCCTCGGGGCGCTGGGGCCCTGGGTTCAACCCCTGGGGTGCTGTCTGTGTGGAGTTTGCATGTTCCCCCCTCGCGTTCGTGTGAGTTTCCTCAGGGTGCTCCGGTTTCCAAAGACATGCTGGTAGCATAAATGGCTTCTGGGAAAACTGGCCCTGGTGCGAGAGTGTGTGGTTCTGTGTCTGTGTGTGCCCTGCGACAGACTGGCGTCCCATCCAGGATGTATCCTGCCCTGTGACCACTGCTTGCTAGGATAGGCTCCGGCTGTCCTGCGACCATGAACTGGATAAAGCAACTGGAAAATAGGTGGGTTTTCATTCGATTAAATTATCCTGAAGTTAGAAAAAAGTAATTGAACTGGGGATTGAACTGGGGGCCCTAACTCTGCAAGGCACTAATGCTAACCTCTGTTCCACTGTGCCACCCTATAAATAAACTTCAATTTAAGTAACTGGTCTGGAACAAAACATAAATGAATTTGTCCAACCACTAAAAAAATGATCAGGTTCCAAAAAACAGTGTATTATGCATGTTCCAAAAACAAACTCTTTTCACAGCTAAAGGATTGAATTTTGAAGCTGGTGAAAAAGCAACATCACTAATGGTTTGGTACTATAGCTAGCGCCTTATACACTGGTGACTTAAGTGTTGTTTTTTGTAGACCCAAAGAGAACAGAAAACTCTCAGAGGTGAGCTTTTATTGGACCATTCCTGAAATCTCAAACCTTTTTCACAGTTGAGGCTTCTTGCTTCAAATCCCAGACTAAAAACTCTTGCCTGATTACTTAATAAAAATAAGAACATGTTGAGTAGCTACACGACTGCAAAGCAAAACTTGCTACACAGGCATATTGTCCCCAGTTGTTTTTTTTTTGTAATTTTCTACTTTCTTCCACGTTTTGCATTTGAATCCTCCGAAAAACACGAAATGCTAAAAGCTCTAAAATGTGGTGGTGTAAAAATAGTGTTATTTATTCATTTATAAATAAATAACGTTATTTATTTGTTATGATTGCGATCATTCTCGTTTCAGCAGAAAATGGGTTAAACAGAGGAGATGAAGCAAACTTTTGAGGTCATCACTGGCATTGTGAAGCAGAAGTGGCTACAGAAAACAAAACAAAGAAATTCCGTGGAAACGGAGGCAAGGGTGAGTCACGCCTTGCTTTTATAGATCACAAACAAGACGACAAAGAAAACTGCTTGGGCAGAATTTTTCCAGAAGTACTGTAGGTGAAGGCTTTGATTTGGGGAAAAGAAAAACCGTCTGAACTACAGCTTCTTAATTCAACCAACAAGAAATACATATCAGAACCTGCTCGAAGAAGGATTTCCATCTGTCCATTTTGCTGTCTCACAGCCACCAAATACAGGGTCACAGGGGGAACGGGAGTCTATCCCAGCAAGCAACAGGCGCAAGGCAGGATACACCCTGGACAGGACGCCAGTCCACCACAGGACACAGCAAATTAACCTACCAGCATGTTTTTGGACTGTTGGGTGGGGGGGGGAAACGGAGCACCCAGAGAAAACCTATGCAAACATAAGGGGAACATGCAAACTCCACACAGACAGCATCCCAGGAACTGAGCCCAGGGACAGAACTCAGGGCCTGCAAGGCAGCAATCCTAATCACTGCCCTGAGGGAAGATTTAACAGCAAGTACTACACAACACACGGGCCAGCAGGTCTTGCAGACCTCTTAAGTCTTTAAAACCTTTAGTCCAGAGAAATAATTAAATCAGTCCAATTAGAATGAAGTGCTCTGGACCAGAGAGAGGGTTAATCCAATGTGAGTAGAATGAGGTGCACGGATATTTCAATTAAAAAAAATCGTTTGGGGGAAACAAAACGATTAAAAAGATTTACATGGCCCGCACAAAAACAAGAAAGTCGACTTACCAAGGTCATTTTCAGATGGTCCGTGACCGAGGCGTTGTAGAGTTCGATCTTCTGCCGGATCTCCTCTTTGCTGAGCTGTGTGCGCTGTTCTCTCTCCTTCTCCACATCCTAGGGAGCACAAGGGAGACAACGAGACGTCAGAGCATGTCAAAACAGCGGACGGCGCACACAGAGGAGCAGCAGGGAGTGCATCACAAGTCTACCACATAGAGGACATCAACACTAAACTGAACTCCTTACGCTTATCTAGAGCTTTTCCGGACACCCCACTCAAAGCAGATGAAACTTAAAACTGAGGTCCTGATTCTCTGCGGTCATTTAAAATCCCAGGGCGTCTCTCGACAAGAGTAGGGGTGTTACCCCAGTGTCCTGGCCAAATTTCCCCCCTGGCCTTTACCCCTCATGGCCTCCTAATAACCCCCCTCTCTGAACTGGCTCCATCCCTCTGCTCTCCTTCCCACTGAGAGCTGGTGTGTGTGAGAGGACTGGAGCATCATCCAGGTGGGGCTGCACACTGGTGGGGGTAGTGGGATTCCCCCTGGCCTGGAAAGAGCCAGTGGAGGGTCCAGAGAAGAACATCTTAAGATTTCTCCTTGACCTTAAGGAGGTGTCCCATCCAGCTGCCAGACATACTCAGGGGAAAAAAAAAAAAATCTTCATACAATTTTAAAGTTTGCAATACTTAACACGTCTAGTACAAACAGCCGGGCAGGACAACACATCACTGTCACAGGACCTGAAAATCAGATCCATCGCAACAATTACCAGCTTTAAAAGAACTCACGCCGGGGCAGGGAGTCTTTAAGAATGGACGGGCTCTTTTACTCATTTCTCCCATTGGTGCCCCCGTAAGAGCAGATCAACCCCATATCAGGGCGTAGAGGATTCAGCGATTTCACATCGGTTCACACGACACTCTGGTCTCTGCTGGTCTCGGTCACCGACTGCTTCCAGATCTCAATCCCTCCTGACCCCCCCCTTTTTTTGGGGCCTTAAAAGAGCGAACCTCTAAAAGTAACTCTGCGCAGACAGGTGGGGGATCTGAGGAGATCTAGGAGGAGTTTTGTAAAAACGCGACTTCTGGACAAGATCTGCTGGCCTTCTTTCAATGCATGATGGGATCTAGCCGGACAGCAACACACGCCGCCGCGAGGAGAACGTGCAAACTCCGCACAGTAGGTTCCCAGGCCCCAAGAGGTAGGAGTACTCCGATACACGTGGAATCTTTTTCCCCCCCACAATACATTTTTCTAGAACGTTCGGGACACCAGCCGTTAGCCGACCTTAAAATGTGGTTGCAGGCTCAACGACCAGATCTCATTCAATAAAGGCTGCAGCAATGAAACGTTGTATGAATACCTCATCCACAGCCAAGGGAACCCTAATTATTTTGCTTCCACGGGCTGGGCACCTACCCCGAGTGCTGCCGACACGGAAAACCACACAGAAATCAACAGGCCTCCCTCTGCCTTACTGTGGTCCTCTATATAAACGGGGGCGGCCATCTCTGCCTTAGGCTACCCTGAACATGGATTCTGCCCACCACAGCGTCTGTTAAGACCCCAGGGCCTGCTGGGAAATTAAACTAGCTGGCTGGCGTTCAACGGAGTCGACAAAACCCAGGGCCCCCCCAACATCCCCTCCCCTCCCCTGAAGGGGAGAATGTGCGCACAGACGGCACCCTGACCGCTCAGTTGGGCCCTACAGCTGTAGCGCTGCCTTTCCAAAAGGAAATGTTGACACGACTTCAAGCTCAAGACCGTGCTTGCATTAACTCTATATGGCCGGAGAGCTATTTAAAGAAAGAGCACGTGACTCTCCCCTGCACTGCAGTGGTCTGAACTCAGCTGGGGGACAAACCTTAAGTCTGATCTGACTTCCCTCAGCCTCTATAACTGTTACACAGAAACCTGCCTGAAGCCTCAGTTCCATTGCTGGCTTCTAGATGTACATGAACAACGAGTTGGTGCGGAGAGGCTACTACAAGGGTCTTTATTCTCAACAGCATGTTCACTAGGTTTAGGGTGCGGGAGACGGGAACAAGCTGCCCAGCCGCGACATGGAAGTCGATACCCTGCCTTCTCTCATAGACACAGCCGGATAAGATCCTCCACTCAGGACAGGAGGCACTTACTTTACACAAAGAGTGGTGGGGGTGTGGAACAAGCTGCCCAGCCATGTTATTGAAGCCAATACCCTGACTTCTGTCAAGACGCAGGGGAATAAGAGCCTCCAGTCAGGACTGGAGGGGTTTCTTTACGCAAAGAGTGGTGGGGGTGTGGGACAAGCTGCCCAGCCATGTTATTGAAGCCAATACCCTGACTTCTGTCAAGACGCAGCGGGATGAGAGCCTCCAGTCAGGACAGGAGGGGTTTCTTTACACAAAGGGTGGTGGGGGTGGGGAACAAGCTGCCCAGCCATGTTGTTGAAGCCGATACCCTGGCTTCTCTCGAGACAGAGCTGGATTAGACCTTCGGCCCAATTAGCCACAAACTACCAAACGGTCCAGAATGGCCTTTTATCATTTGTTACCCTTCGTGTGGTCACTGGCTCCCAGAATACAATGGGGCCAAACACTAAGATGCACAGCAAAGAACTGCACGACTCTTCTCATGCCCCAGATATAGCTTCTACAAGTTTTCTGGGGTTTCAAGTCGGGTATAAAAGGACAGAGAGTCCAGAAACACGCAGTAAGTACTGCCTCAGCACAGCTGTGGCAGGAACGACCCGACAGCTCCCCAGTCAGAGAATAGAAGCAGTCGCCACACCTTATATGGTTTAAAACCACAAATCGATTCACTGCACGAAGCCAAATAACATTTTGAGCTCCGCGTCTACTCTGAGATAACGTTCCCCGAGCCCCTGCCACTTCGCCGTTTGCGGATTAAGACAAACGCTCTGTTAATAAAACAAACTCAAGGGGTCCTGCGTTCAAAACTCTTGGGCAGCAGTTGGGAATTTGAGCTCTCATGTGTTTTGAAGACAAGACTTCAGATTGTTAACAAATGACATAACTTGATTAAAATGCAATCCTCAGAGTTCCAGCACGCTGTTTCTTTGTCTGGGGCTTTAACTGTTGAAAGGGCCTTTTGTATAACTAACCAGATAATAAGACTATATGATAAAGTCGTATAAGACTCATCTGATGTTTATAGCGACAAGTGTTATCATCATCATGACAAGGACGACATGCTAGAACCAGAGACAGAGTATTAAACTGTCTAGAACAGCCGGGCACATTAATCGCACAAGATTCAGCGGCAGTTCAGGGCACATTAATCGCACAAGATTCAGCGGCGGTCCAGGGCACATTAATCGCACAAGATTCAGCGGCGGTCCAGGGCACATTAATCGCACAAGATTCAGCGGCGGTCCAGGGCACATTAATCGCACAAG